AAGACAATTATAAGTATAACCGTATCAAACAACATCCGCAGTATATATGACGACCAGCTTAATAAGGTTAACCATTTCAATAAGAGAGCACGATATAGATCACAAACCATGAACGGTAACTCGATGTTGTCCACTTGTTGAAATTAGTCCTACCAATACCAGACACAATACCTACAATAACAAAAATATAATCATATACTTCAAATATGTAATAATGTTTTTTAAGCTGTTGAAGCATATTATCGTATTTACCATAGAAAGCGCTACACTGGTTATAACACAGCGCTTTCTTTTATTTCTGTGCAGGTTGAATCGTACAGCCTTCATTTCGGATAAATTTCAGATCAAGGTTTGACCAGGTTGTGATGTCAATACTGTTTTTACCGTCCTATTGTAACGGGTAGAGTGTTTATCGGGTGTTGAAGGTGACAAGGATTTATTTCTCTGTATGACGCACAATATTTGTTTTAATAATATCGTTCCAGTAATATAATCAATTTTAACAGTTATCGTGATGATATGAGAACCCAACGTATACAAAACATACTTATTTAGTCTTTCATTATTACATTTCAAAACGAAGAATATAAATTTCCTGACACAGCCGGTTTTTGATGGTTAGTACTTGGCAGTGTAATTGGATCAATTGTAATTTGTTGAATTGGTTCTCCTAATTTTTGCTTTCTGATACGCAAGAAGAAATCCAACGTGGTGTCCAAAACATTTTTATCATCCTGAAGGACAATTAACCATACAATATGATCTTCTTGATCAAGTGCTAACACTCCAAGATATAATCGTGACAACACATCAGTAATAACTGATACCAATGATATACAGAAAAACGTCGAAACGGAAACAATCCAGTGGTGAAGTTTAGGAAAATCCTTATCAACCAATTAATATTGCCAATGTTTAAATACATCAATACAGTTTCATCGTTTTACAAAATTTTTTAAAAAAGTATGATTGTTCGTACATGTAGCAATATTACGATTAAAGTCACACAATCTTATTAGTCGATTTTTCCTAAAATCCTTGGTGGTTATATACAAAAAGTGCAAGAATCTGAATAGTAGAAACAAATGGAAAATGGTAGCCAAACAAACAACGTTTATGCTATTTTGGTTTAATATAAAAGATAATTTATGTATACATCTATTAGACCAGTTATGTAACATAACGTTTTGTTCTATGTTCAAAGGTTTTGTATTCATTGTTGATTTAGTTGTAAAAAGTTCATTTGTCAAAATCTAAATGTTCATTTATAGTCAATCTATATTATTGACCCCTTAAATATCAATTTCTTAATTATGGATATACATAAGGTTGCAGTTCGTCGTTCAGTACACGTTCATTTTCACAAATGAGATGGTCAGGTTAAGAAGCTACAATGCACAAAAAACTACACGAGTCCTTGAAATGGCAGTCAGTGTTAAATTTGGTAAACATTTATGTCAGGTTGAAACTTGAATTGTATGTTAAGTTTAGATATAAATTTGCATGCATTATGGAGAATCCAATAGGAAAAAGTAGTATTGATACGAGCTGGAAAATTTTCAACAACAATATCAATTGACGCCAGGAAACGATGACGCCTTTTCTATTTGAATTGTTTCTAATATGTATTGCGGAAACAGGAAAATAAAAGGCATTAGTTACATTAAAAACTTAAAAACTGATAACACAAAATAAGTTTATACACACGCATATTGAATATAAACATGACAATACTACTTTATAAAGTATGTGGGTTTTAAGCAAATTAATTTAAGGCTAGCATTAGTTTCGAAATTATAAAGATAAGAATAAGTTTTATTTTATATTAATCCGGGTTTCAACTCCCTCGGGCCATTTGAATATTTCCAACAAATGTAAAATATGATTTGTGTAGTTAATACTCTGCTGATGTTGTATGCAAAGGTCACGTTTGTTTGGCAGTTTCAAACAAATTTTCAAAATATTATTAGAGCTTTTTTCATTAAAGATTAATCATAGCTCTGAAACATTGAAAACTAACCGTTAAGCTGAAAAATAGTGCAATGACCTGGAGGGAAAAACAAGTACTATAAATATATATCGAGATTGAATTGAATATATTATTGTCAAAATAACAGACAAAACCGGTCTTAAGACTATTGTCGAATATTACACATTCGCTTTTCAAATAAAATATACAATACGCCACTACAAAATTAATAAGAAGCGTCATACATAATATTAAAAAAATGTGTTCATTGAGAATCTCTATTGAAACCAATTTCCAATTTCATATTTTGGTCGTGACCGTCAGTGATTTTAGAAGGAAGTTTTTATGTTAATAAATATTGTGGATGTCAAGTGATAATAGCTCAATGAATGTATTGTATTTAATTAACACGGGAGAAAAACAATTAAGAATGAAATGCAGGTAAAGCCTTTTATGTATATAGTGAATGTCAGGTTCTTATATTTAGAATAACTTAAAGCAGGTAAAAATAGATCTTATGATATAAATCTGTAAAATTGATTTAAACTGATATAAACCAATTTGTATTCTTCTTTATTTTTTTAGACATGTTGGACAGACAAACATTTGTTTATGTATTCCTGAAAGTGTTGCAGGTGACAGGTAACATAAATTTAGTCTTGATAGTAATAAGCAAAATAATCAACCGTTGCAAGACCAATAAAACTATTTCCGATTGTCTAGGAATGAAACTATTCTACTATAATGATACATTAAACGATAAACATTAAACAAATGATTATGTATCGAAAAATACACAACAAAAAATTGAAAACAACACGTTTAATAATATCATACGTCCGATGCGCTTTTCTGGATTTACCTTCAGCAGGAACGCTCAAAGCCAAACATTTGAAATCCGAGGGATGTATAAGTACCGAAACAGTTGAAGAGCTATATGACAAAAATATACCCAAAACAAATAGCCAAATCCATCTAAGGTCAACTTTTCCTGAGGGAGTTGAAACCTTAGTTTCTTTATAATTTCAAAATTTATAAACGGACAATTTTAGAAAAGTTTGTCATAAATCATGTCAGTACCAAAGTACTGACTACTGAGCTGATGATACCCTCGGGGACTGATAGTCCACCAGCAGAGGTATCGACCCAGTGATGTAAAAAATTAAAAACAACACGTTTAATAATTTCATGCGTCCGAAGCGCTTTTCTGGATTTACCTTCATCAGGAACGCTCAAAGCCAAACATTTGAAATCCGAGGGATGTATAAGTACCGAAACAGTTGAAGAGCTATATGACAAAAATATACCTAAAACAAATAGCCAAATCCATCTAAGGTCAACTTTGCCTGAGGGAGTTGAAACCTTAGTTTCTTTATAATTTCAAAATATATAAACGGACAATTTTAGAAAAGTTTGTTATAAATCATGTCAGTACCAAAGTACTGACTACTGAACTGATGATACCCTCGGGGACTGATAGTCCACCAGCAGAGGTATCGACTAACAAATTAGGTTGAAACCATTTAGTTATACTAATATTAGTTAAATGGTTGTCAAAACCATTTTAAAAACCTTAAAAGGACCAAATGTATTGTAAAATCAGGAAACGACTTCCCGTTATGAATGAGGAAAATACATTCGTATAAAAGGATGTTGTCTGCTCTGTTTCAAAAGACTATAACTTGATAGTATATTTAGATAAAAAACAAACAAAAATGACAGGTCCGTGTCCTTATCTTTTATATAAATATAAGCCATTTCATCTTTAGAGTAAAATGATTCTCTCTAGATTTTTCTTGCAGCATCTTTTTTTCTTTCAAATAATTGACCGCCGCGACATGGCAAAGAGTGATGAACGTGACTTAAACACAACCCATCAATAAATCAGTTATGGATCTATAGCCATAAATATATATGTTCCGGACCATATGGGTGTTTTGACCATTCGCGTATGGTCATGACCATTTGCGTGTATTCTCATATGGTCTGACCATACGCGTATGGTTCGGGTCATTCCAACGATAAACGTTGAAAAGGGAGTAACATAAATTAAGAGTTTCTAAAAATAAGATTTTGACTTATTCAATCTTATTGCAGCCATTGTTATTTTAGTAAAGTGAATATCAATTAAAAGTAAGATCTATAGTAAAATACTTTTTACATGGTCATTACCGATTTGTCGTTACGAAACGCAATCTGCCGACTTTGGAAAATTACTTCAAGAAATATCTAGTAAATGAACTGTTAAACAATAAGTAAATCGCTTATTGCACAGGCACATTGGTAATTGAACCATCTTTCTTTTCATTTTTAAATTTCTTTTAGTGTTAAAATTGTTTTTATTTAATTATAATTTCCTAAAAAAATTCTTAATGTTTTTAGTAGATATGTTCACGTGTTCTTGCTCCTATTCGTACAATCTTACAATGACAGTAAGATATCGCGAATAAGAGCAAGAACACATCAGTTCAATGAAAATAAACAGAAATAAGAAGAGATTGTGTTTCTAAAATAAAAATTTTAAAACTAAGAAAACAGAAAATATACCTTTCCCATTAGCACATGTGGTTTCACAAAAATCGTCAGAATAAAGGTTATTCGAATTGACTCGAAGCGAATGAATGATAACAGATACACAAATATTCAGGCAATATGATAAAGACAAAGGAATTCTGTTAGAAATTTGTACCGTTTTATGTTTAGAGAATGAGCCGTGTGTTCCTGAAAGTAAAGGTAAAATTATTAGAAAAAACCTAAATGGTTCTAACTCTTATATGGTCCGGCTCGTTTATAACCAAAAGAGTATGATACTCAGATGGTCCGACCATATGTATGGTCGGACCATATGCATATACGCATATGGTCATGGCCATACGCGTATGGGCAAAATACTCATATGGTCCGGAACATATATAAGGCATTAATACATTTTAAAGGTAGAATAACCTTTAAAAAAATCGTTTCTGTTTGCATTTGTGGATTTCTGAAGTAACGATAACGATATAACTTTTTTTTAAATCTTTAGGAATCATACAGGAAGTACTTGTGAAAACAGGTGATACAGTTGTCTTAAATTGTACATGCACCAGTCAAACAAACGGGCTCTGGGATGGACCAAATAAATCAGCATCAAGGATAAACGGTCTGCACGAAAAAAAATTAATGCCATATGCACAGGGGACGCTACTTAATTCAAAACTTAACTTATCAAAATATTATATTATGGGAAGTTATAAGAACAGAACTTGTAACTTAATGATTAAAAACTTTGTGGCTAACGATGAAGGAAAATACCATTGTCAATATGTAGAAAATGACACAACAATTAGTCGTTTTTACAAAGTTCACATACAGAGTAAGTGCTTATTATATATTATCAAATTTCAATAAAAACATTAAATAAATTGAATATATGCATTAAACAAATTGATTAAATAATTTAAATAAATAACTGATTCAATAGAAAAAGGACTGTCGAAATCAGTTCGAAAAGTGAATGGAGAACTGGTCCATAAACTGTTGAAGAACAGTTCTCCTGATTGTTACTGACAGATTTGAACTGATTCCAACTGTACCATACAGTTATGATCAATTATGTCTGCAAAATTTTGCATATATGAAGTTAGTATTTGCTCGAAGTATATCACCCGAGATGTTAGTTATCATATATGTTGGTTGCATCATAACATTCCTGCAATCAAAGATTAGTTAAAAGTAGCTGTTTTCCATTGTTCCTGTATAAATGTATTTAAGTTGCATGGTTGGCGTCGATAATTCGTATGAGTTTACGGTTTCGATTTGATGATCATGTGCCAATTATGATATTTATATTTTTTTTGTGTTCTTCCATAGTTAATTAGATCAACTGTTCATTTTAACAAAGTTACAACTAGTTAGGAATGATTTTGTACTAGCATAATATTACTTTGAAGTACTGTTGTTGTCATGGTCTGATATATAAAAACGGGGAAAGTTGGTTATACGTCAAACGGCTCAAAAGTCCTAAAACATCCATTCGTCACAATTGGACCTTCAACAATTATCAAGTGCGTTTTTAATATGCCAATCTGTAAATCATTGTGAGGTCATGAAAGCTGAGACGTTAAATATATTAACAGATAAAACAGATGATGTTACTTTCCCCATTATTATTATTACTCAGATGGTGTACATCTATCAGTGTTAATTTTAAATAAATTTGCTTCAATTTTTTAAACATTTAAATAACGAATATTTTGTTTCTAGGACGACCATTGATGTAAACGAAATATTCAAATGAGTATATTGAGAGTTAAAGATAAACTGTTTTATCTTGTAATGACTCAATACCGTTATGGTAGCAACGCCACTAGTGACAATGTGTTAATTTTGTGTATTAATCATATTATTATATTGTTATTAATATCTCATTTCTCCTTAAACATTTATGTAGTGCCCATAACTTCAAGTAAGAATAACCATACAAAATTAATTTAACATTAAAATTTGTTCATGTCCTGTTTCTTTTCGTTAGCTCCGCCTGATGTCTCAATTAAAACAACACATTTAGAAAATGTAACGTATCTTGAATGCCATGCTACCGGTAGTTCTGGGCCATACACGTCCAAAAATTGGGAACATAAATCAGTATCTGGTAAACATATACGATATATAGAAGACGCAAAAGACGGTACACTTGTACTTCAGAAAGACAATTATCAAAACAGCGGGATATTTATATGCAGAGTGAACAATGGCATCATTGATATAAGCGGAGAGCATGATCAGAAAAAGAAAGTATTGGTACATTACGAAGGTAATCATATAAAAATTAAAAAATCAAAGAAAGTCATTCCACCTCAACTTCGATAATAAAGAAGGAAATTTAAAAAACGGTGTTAGAACATGTCCCTTCTGGTTCATATAAATTGTTACTTCAAACTGATTTTGAAAAATAAGATTTCTAGGTACTTTTTCATTGAATTGATATGAATTAGGCTACAATACTTCCGGTTAAAATAATGTCACTTCCGGTTAAATTTTTAAAAGATCAAATGTTAACAAACCAAAAGCAAAAGACTTAATGGTTTTATAATGAACCAGTATCAATGTTAAGCAAAGTTCAAAATCTAGAACTTCAAATTGACTTTTGACCTTGTCCTCAATTTCAGGGTCATATTTCAGTGATCTCAAATCGAAAGATCCCAGGTCATTGATTTGTATGGTTGAGGAGTAATTCTGATTTCAAATCCATGAAAGGAGAAAATTCCTATTAAGGGGTGACCGAAATACTTAAATAGGTTGAAGTTGCGCCTTTTCGTAAACAATCATTTGGCTACTACATCGTATCATTGACTGTTACGATTTCTTTGGAATAAAGATAACAAGCAAAGTTCAAAATTTAGAACATTACATTGACCTTTAACCTTGACCTCAATATCCTCCAATTGGAACAAAGACTTCATACCAAAAGTCGTTAGGCCTCTATGACTTATGATGTATGAATTTATTCAACATATAACTTTTGTTGAATTTTTAAAGGGATATAATTCCCATAAGATGTCATTGGATCACTTATGTTAAACTCAAAACAATATTGTTTTTGTAAAGGAATCACTAAACGATAAACCCAATTAATTCAAGGTTGGCGCTAATAGTAAACTTTTTTCTTCGATTTTCATGTCCTTATTGTTATTTGAATATGTAGGATGGTTTGTTTGAAAGGTGAGCCATTTTCAATTATATGTATGCAGTTTGATTTTCGGGGTATCATATGAAATAATCTTTTCTGCAATGTTATGCACTCCGGATAAACCTTTGGTAGGGTGTTTCTTGGAGGAAGGACGACATTCAATTTTAAGAGAAATAAATTATCTAGACATTTTGGTATTCAACAATCTTGTAAATGTTCCATAGTTGTTAAATATTTATTATATAGTGCTCTTCACTTGAATATGTTGAAAGCAGATGAATTATAGAAAGTTATATAATGTATTGTAATAGAACGTACACTATCATGGCGAATTGATGTTCTTGTAGTCACAAATATTTTAGTATATTGATGTACTTATCCCACAAAATTAGGAGTCGGATATCCTCCACCCAAATATTATTAAAACCATAGACGGTTTTCTCTCTTCTAAATGCCTTTTTACATTAGCATGTACCACTGAATAATGTTTTGATATCATAGAAATATGTTTTTGTTGTCAATTAAAATTCCAAAATGAAGAGCTGAAAAACAATGTTGAAAGGGAAAGGATAAAGATTTGAGGCTGGACATAGATTAGAGGCAAAATATACAAATATACTAACTACAGTTATAATAAATTATCAAAACGTTAATTCATACTTTTTCAGATGACCAAAAAGGTATCTTATCATGTATTTTTATAAGATCATAAATTCCTTTAGATTCGTCTTGTTATAATATTTAATAAATTTTTAATTATATTTCAGGGCCACCGGTGTTTGTTTTAAACAATAGCAAAACTTGGTTAGGTCAGTGTCATGGGGAAGTTATTGTTACTTTGAAAGTCTTTACTTCATCATATATCACTAGTGAACTAATTCCCAAACTTGAGGAAGAGAATGACAAAAGTCAATCGTCTGAAGTAATAGGTTCATTGATGAATTTGACATGTAGAGAGCATTTAGTTTTCTATAATGTCAGTGTTAAAGTGCCATGCATAGAAGTGACATTTAATTTGACCAAATCTATGAAAGACGATAGCAGGAATTATTCTGCGAAAGTGTGTAATAAATTTGGGTGTGATTTCTTTGACGTTATTGTTATTTCAACAGGTACGTATATTTGTTAAAACCCATTGTGTGCCATTAATTTAATATGATTGTATTTCATATGTCAGAAAATACAGAATCTCGACGTGTGTGACGTCAAATGACCAACTTTGACATCTTTCGATATATGACGGAACGCTCTAATGACTTTAAACTGACGATCCATTGAGGAACAAATATAACATGATAAAATCTTCGATAAATTATTTTACAGAGATACATGAATGGACAGGTGATGGCATGTCTTAAAATATGGACATATGCGTCCACCCGGTTGCAAGAAGGTTAAGAGTGATTCGTTTTGTATATTTTTGTTTATGTGTGTAAATGATATGAAAGTATTAACATGGACATAAGGAAGTGAGCAGTGCTTTTCGAGTTTATACGTCTCAATGTGGCTACCGATTCGATTATTGAATACTAGAAATATTGCGTTTTTTATTTTATGTTGTAAGGGGTACCGGAAATGAAGTGATGGTTTGTGCCTAACATTGCATTAACGTATTTTATAATGTCAATCAATAAAATCGAGGCAATGGTTTCTGCAATTACAGAAGAATTACAAGTACGTTTCGAAGGTCAAACATTAATCAACAAAAACAAACCCTGCAAAGTGCTAAAACCAGGTTAAATCCACCATTTTCTACATAAAAAATATCTGTACCAAGTTAGGAATATAACAGTTGTTATCCATTCGATTGATGTCTTTGAGCTTTTTATTTTGCCATTTGATATGGGACTTTCCGTTTTGAATTTTCCTCGGAGTTCGGTAGTTTTGTTATTTTATTTTTTGCAACCCGCTTACGTCAGGCTTTACCTGGGTAGTTGCGAACATAGGTTTATCTGTAAGATTATTGCACTGTTAGAAAATGTATGAAAAAGGCAATCATCTCTCCCCTCAAATAAGTTTAGTTTTTCCGTTCTTTAGATGCTTCATGTATGTTAGTGCAAGTTATAAATAAATCAAGATACTACAATCCAGACTATAATTCGGACACAACATAGAAAAGAACGTAGCCTTTATAGTCAAAGTTCAAGATTTTTGTTTGTAGCAAAATACATGTTTGGGAAAGGCTTGACACCAATTCAACTGCGTATAACAATATTTCAAATTGAAGGGAAGTTTTGTTTTTTGTACAACTACATGATTTCAATAAATCTGAGGCACTAGAGCAAATGTGTACGACATATTTGAAAAAATTTAATACTTATTTCTGAAAGACATATTGTATTCTCATTTTATTTTCGCATGCAAGAGCCGAAAGTATCTTTATGCATGTTATAATACCTTCCTTTCAAAGTCAGTAATGTCAGTTAATCACACACAAATTGAAACATTATCAACTTGAATAAATGCACTCAAATATATATTCATCAATATACAGCGATAGCCAACCAGTGTTACTTATAAAAAACATGATAAATAAATCAACGCATCAAACGAATGTTAAACAAAGATAGACTAATAAAGAGGTACGTGTATCTTCCTTTAACTAAAGAGTGAAATAAGTTTATTTTCCCAAACTACAGGTATTCCAGAACCGCCATCAAATATTTCCCTGATAAGTGACGAGACCAAAATATTTATGAAATGGCATCCAGGTTTAAATTGCGGTTGTAGCCAAAATTTCTTTATTGAATACCGACAGATAACATTGACAATCTGGACGGATATAGGTCCTTTACCGGATCATAAGGAGAAAGATGGTGCATTTACTTTGTCGGACTTACATCCTGATACACAATACGAAATTCGAATGTATGCCAAGAATACAGTTGGAGATAGTTTAAAAACAAATATTACGACCATTTTCACAAGAAGTAGGTGTTGCACGAATTTACTTTAATATTAAATTGATATGTTGATTAAACGATTATTATATTCAATCGAATTTCTTTTTACTGTAAAAAAAACCTGGCATAATATAAATGGACCGGTTTCTTCATTAAAAAGAGGATCTTTAATGATAAGTTTAAAAATAAATTCCATATTCTGTAATCAGTGTTACAAACGGCAATCAAGAACAAGATACCTTTGGATAAGTTTGTACTTTTCAAATATCTCCCATTTCAGATAAAGTTTATTTTCACATTGGATTTCGTACCAACCGGTGTTTAGTACACTAATAAGTTTTTTTCGTTATTGAAATATTACTGTCTCATTAAAATTCTAGAAATTTTTATCGTACATGTATTCATACCTTTTTGAACAATATGTCTCTAGAAATAAAACACAAAAACACCGAAAATAATATCTTTCAATAAGGAAAACGTAAAATGCAACAAAATCCTTACTATAAGATGGAATATTTTTCGATATTTTATCTATTAAAAATTTCCTTAGTCATCATGTCATTATTTCTTTATATTTGTACAACGTATGTTTGTTGTTATTCGAACAATTTTTTCATTCATGAAGAACTGATGGAAAATAGGCAACAGTTCTTGTGGTGGAGTGTTACTGTTGTTATGGTCATATTAGCTGTAACATGCTGTGGATTGGTGTTTGTAGTCGTTCGAAAGAGAGGTAACAAACTCGAACATTAGTGCATGGACGGAATCTTTCGTATTGTCAATATTGTTTCAATTTTAAGACGTATATTACTTTGAATTTATAACGTCTGTCATTTATAGATTTGACCAGTCGGAATTTAATACAACTTAACACTTTTGAACATACTGACAGAGCTAAATTTTCTGGTAAAGCTTAATTTCGTTTGGAAAAAAAACTTATTTGTTTAGTAAGTGTATCTATATAAAATCTCATTTCATAGTAGATATTCTTTCTAATAATATTATCGGTACTGCAGCAGATGCAGATTTCCACACTTAATGTCTCTTCATTGACGCTCGGTCTCGAAGTATTTGAAAACTATAAACCTAATACAACATTGAAGTATCAGCACCCTACACAACAATCGTATACTAAAACTGTTCTTTTCTCATCGGTACGAAGTTAAAATTTGTGTAACGGTAAATAGAAAACAGTTAAATTCTTTTAGCGGTAGCATAATTTTCATAGTAATCATTTGTACCTTATAATAATATGATATAATATATGATAATGTAATTTCACCAAACAATATTCTTAAACATGTTCAAGTGCGAATGAATAATATTTTAGAGAAAAGAAAGCAGTGTCACAACATACGGTAAGCTGTTATTTATTTTCGTCTTAAAACGTGTCTTATTTATCTTCTTGCATGACATTCTCTAATGTATGGATGTAACATTCACTACAAAAGTCAAAAAGTCTGAAAAGACCAGTTTTTGTCTGAATTTGCATGAATTTTTACTCGACATTCTTAATTTGTCTGAATAATTTTTAAAAATTCTTGACATAGTATGAATTTGTCTAATAAGGTTCTTGATTTTTCTTGACAAGTGTCTTGACAGTATGAACATTGTCTTAAAATTTCTCGACACTTCCTGTATCATCTGATAAGAGTCTGGATTAGTCTCGACCAATTCTTGACTGTCTTAAATTTGTCTCGATCTGTCTTGACATATTCTTGACATTCTTAATAATGTCTGAATATGTCTCGACATATTCTTGACATTCTAAATAATGTCTGAATATGTCTCGACACATTCTTGACAGTCTTAAATATGTCTTGACACTATCTCAACAGTATAAATTTCGCCTGAAATGTGAACAGACTTATTCTGCACTGTTTATGACATTCTATTGCTGTTATATACTCCTTTTTATTATGGCTAAACTAAACTTTGAAGAATCAAGGATTAATTTGGTATATATAGTAAGATACCCTTTTGGTGCAACTAAGTTGTAATACCCTGAATAATCCCCCATGTAGTTTAATTTTGATTTATTTTTATTAAACATTTAAGTAATTGTTTTCACTTGGAATATAAGTAGAAGGTATTGACAAACAGCAGTTAGATTTTTGACGTTCGCAAAACTGCCAGTCAAATTTGCTTTACTAAAATAGGTGTCTTGTATCTCTTTTGGACCCCACAATTCATCTTTTGGGTTTGTGTAGCTAAAAAAAGAGGGGAGGGAGGGGGGGCTTTCGTTTAGGTTAAAGAATTTGTTCCCATCTTGATTCAAAAACCTTATTCATTTTTTAGAACAACCCAAAAACATTTTTTATTCAAATTTGAGTGTTGAATTTTATAATTTTTTATCAAAAATAAATATTAATAAATAATAAAAAAAACTCCTTCCTGAAAAGAAAAAAATGTTTAGTTCTATATTATGCATGTCTGTTTGAGAACCATTTCTATAGAAATCATTGATGGGACCCATTATAAATACATTTTTTTTTATTATTCCTGGAGTAGATAATAATTTTCTTTTAATCTTTGGGAATTATTCAATTTGTTTTTATGTTAAAATAATTAACTTCATAATTTTGATGAAGAAAATCCATTTCAATTCAATTTTTTTTCATCAAAATGATGATTTTCATTTTCATCTATCAACAAACTTTTTAAATTGTAGTGGCATGGTCGGTCAACTGATAAGTTGTATGGCTGATTACAGGTAAAGCAATAACTTCTATTTGACAGTTGCGTGTACTCTGGGGTGTGGAATACCTTAATTTTATGGGGAACATCCTGTCCATGTGTAATACTTAATATATTCCAACAGATGACATTACACAATTTTTTCTTCTGTTAAATGAATGGTTTGTATATCATCATAATTTGCTATTTATATAAACCACATTTTGGTATAATAATTATTTACCATATCAACATTGAATATTATGAATGTAGAATGAAATATGTCTACAGTATGATTGGTTTGAATCATTTAATTTATAAGATTTAGGAATCAAAATTCGTAATTATTTAAAAACCTACATTGAAATTGTTTTATATCAACACAACCACATTTGAATTATTTTATACTTTAGATTTCAAAGCCATATTTGCATTTGTAAAAATATTTATATACCCAAATTTTCAATTATTTTACATGCCCAACTTTTATTTTTGTTGTAAAGAAGTGTAACTTGAAACAACAGTATATCATATAAAGAGAAATAAAGATTAAAGTTATATCATGAATATTGGTCATGATTTGTAAAACTCAGAACTGTCAAGTAAATTTAAGACACGATTCAAAATGTTCAGAATATGTCAAGCCATACTGAGAAAAAATAAGAATGTCGAGAATATGTCGAGAAATTTCAAGACAGTATTCAAATGTCAAGAATTTGTCAAGAAATTTTAAGACCATATTCAGAATGTCGAGAATATGTCGAGTAAATTTCATACAAATTTAATATAAATGAGAATTTGTCAAGAAAAATTAAGACACAAGTCATACTTTTGGAGAATGTCGAGTAAAAGTTCATGCAAATTAAGACAAAAACTGGTCTTTTCAGACTTTTAGACTTTTGTAGTGATTGTGAAGATGAATAAGTATAAATTAAGTAATAACATATGATTGCAATTCATTTTGTTTAGCGTTTTTGTGTTTTATGTTAAATCATTTGAGACATGATATACTAAGAACAATTATACGAACTGGTCATTTTTATTTCCCTATTTATATGAAATTATGTATCTAAGTATTTCTTTGTCGACTGTTTGGTTAACAGACGTATTATTCACATTAGTTAATTGTTTGGACATCAATATTAGGTTTTTTAATAATTTTGCACGACTTGAAGCACACATAAATAGTTCAAAATATTCTTTGAGCAATGATCATCGTATTTTAAAGAGTGCATGACTAGTTAATAAAGTCATCCCGGATAAAATCTTCCGGATAAAATCATCCCCGATAAAATCAGCTATGATTAATTTATTATAAATATTTCAGAAACTAGGAAATTTTTAATAAAAAAACTAATATTCCAACTCTCTCAGGCAAAGTTTATTTGAATAAATTTTCCTATTTTGTTTATGTCTCTTTGCTGGGGTATATAATTTCTAATGCTGTAGCGTATCGCATTTAGGCATCATTGGTTTTCAAAAGTGCATATTAATTTCAGACGCTCAAAGTTTATAAAGTGTTTACTTCATCTTCAACAGTGTATTAATATGTCCATAAATATTACGAAAAGGGGTAATTGATTACTGAAATGAAAATAATCCACATTTCCGAAGTAACAAACCACATCAGTGGTAGGGTTTGTTTTTTTATTTAATCCAGCAATTTGTTTTACGGGAGATGATAATTGAGTTGTTGCTTTCTCGATTATAATAGCGAGTTTGAGTTTGACATCTGGCATAGACGCTTATATAATGTAGGATGATCTTTTTACCTTTATATGTTCTTTTTATACTCCTGCATTAAAAAATTGGGGGTATACTGTTTTACCTCTGTCTGTCTGTCTGTCCGTCCATCCATCCGTCCATCCGTCAGTCCGTCCATCCGTCCCATGAATATGTCTCGTCGCATCTTTCTCATGAACTTCATCATAAGGATTTCTGAAATTTTGTTTCATGGTTTTTATAAGTCATTTTTTCTAAAGTTGTTAGCCTGTCCTTAACTGTTCGCCCAAGCTCACTTCCTAATTTATCGTTTAACACGATACGTGGATTCGATTTTAAGTGAATTCTGTTTTGAATTTATATTGCTATAGAGAAAAAGATCGTTATTTCAGATAAAAAAAAATTGTATTACCAAATAATTATTCTTCATTTATTATTATTTTTATTATTATCGGCGGGGGTAGGGTGGGGGGATGGTGTATTCTTTTCTTATATTTGTCACTCATTTGTATACTTAAATGATATCCATTTTAAAATTCATATCAGAAAATTTCACATCTTTAATTCATTAAGAGATTGCTAAATTAAAATTATATTTATGTATTTATAATTTTTAGACCTTCAGACCTGGAAATGAATATACAAGGTACAAATTAATGCAATAGAAAAATTGATTTTTTTTACGAGAATATTAGACTTTTGTTCGTGTGTTTTAGAACAAGATTACAATTCGAGCCGATAAGTGCAGATAATTATATCACAGTTACACTCTCGTGTTTGATTTTTTCTTCACTCGAATTTTGTTTTACTATTAATAATCTTTAAGATATGTATATACAGATACCTATATTGGTATATCAATTACTATTCTCGTGTTAAATGAAGAATTCAATTTGTAAAAAACTTGGATTAACAAAGCTAAGTGAAAATTAAGAGCAACGTTTTGTTTATTATGTATATGTATACACATTTATCAATTCACATTCAATCACAGGATTTACATGTACCTACATCAAAATTACTAAATATCTTTTAGGAGTTGTTAACGACCTGTTTTCGTTAGAATTTTATACATTCCTTTGGTTTTATTCACATGATTTTAAATCGAAAACAATTAGCTATAGCCATCAGTGAACAAATATATTATGATTGTAAGTGATCGATTATGTTCAAATTTTATCAGAAAGATGTATCTTTTATTACAGTTCGAAAATGAATTTGAATTACCATATTATAAACAGGAAATTTCCAATTCAATATTTTGAGGGAGGAATGTAATCATAGAAAAAGGAAATGGGTTTGTCAGGATATTCAACTTGAATTGTTAATTCAACAAATTATGTCAAAGCAAGACAAACACAAAATGCATATAATATATGGACAGAATTTTTATTACGAAAACAGAAATATAGCCGTATTAATCTTGGATACATTTAACCTATTTGCAAAAAGTATGTAAATGCGTCTTCATTTTTCGGTTGTTCTTTCTTTTTCTCTTTTTTTGGTCCATGAAGAATTTGCACCAAAACAGTTTTGTATATTGTATATTGAATTATTTAATTTGAAATTTTCCTTACATGTTTTGTAGGTCATTTGTACTTTGGGTTTAACATGTAATAAAACATGACTTGTCTATACTGCTAGTATCTTTTTTCATTCGAAAGGCATTATACAATTGTGCGATGAATTATATTCCTTTTTAACGACATCAAGACCTTAATTTTTTTTTTCACCCAGTTATATATATAAATCAGAAATGTCTAAAATTTACTAATGGATATAAGAAATCATTAAAAAGGGATTGAGAAATATATTTGGTGAGATTTAGATGGTTCTGTGTAAATGGAAGGACATTTAAAAATCTGTATATGATCCATCACATTTTTTTACTTATATTTGTTGATATATAAAACTATAAAAGTATAAACATGTTTTAATTAGCATGAACAAATGATGATTGCGTACAATATTTTATTTTTTGTTTGTTAAATCAGGGGAGTCAGTTGATAATTGTTTGTACCTGTCATCAGACTTTCGTCAATCAAATTCTACTAGAAATCAGTCAGAACGATATGAAATGGAAATTCAACCTACTGGACAGCCAAGTTCAGCTTTAGACAGTCGTATGTAAATCATGCATGTAACTAAAACGCAATTTGCATTTCCAATTTACCTTGAAAAATCAACAACGTGTAGGAAAACTACGAAAAGTTTACAAAGATTTGTCTTAAATACAATCATGACAATTATAACGAAACCTAAAAACTTATCATAGATGGCAGTAGCAATGATTTTAAATGTAATTAGCATACGTAGCATAACCTACTTTCAATACTGCAGATGCAATATGTAACACATATCGGTAGGACACGACTGCGAAATCCAAGTATTAGAATTGCAATCTGAATGGCGGATACAATTCTACTGTACACGATAGTTGAAACAGTTGTTTTGCATGAAGTCTTTAACACAGATCCTACCGTATCTCCTGAAGTGGTAGCCGTTAAAATGGACATGATTATGCACACAAATTGATTGATTGATTGATTGATGTTCAACACAACTTTCAACACTATTGTGCTATTTCATGGCGGTTAATTTTTATTGGTGGAGGAAGCCGGAGCCAAAAAAGAGAAACATATTTAATGATAGTGAAGTGTACTTCTAATTTTTGTCGAAACGATCAGCGATTTATGTAAAAAAAAAACATCATATTTTCGTTTTTCTTTTTGTATTATTCTCAGATTATCAAGAAGAATTGATAGAGGAACAAAATGTGTTTCATGCCGACCGAATCATTTCGACACAGGTAAAATTATTACACGCATAGAATCCAAACAGATTTTTTTTTTCAAATGACAATTTAGTTGAAGTTTTTTTTAAAGTTGTGATATGAGTTATATTAACATTGAACAAACGTTTAAGTTTTTTCTAGTTTGGATATTTCGCAATACTTGTCTCTGTTACTCATATTACTTTGTAAATAATTCAAAAGTTGGTGACTATGTTGAAACGCAAATATCCCATCGAACTTGAGATAAAGGATACAACAGATACTTTACGACAAAAGAGATAATTTCAGCTTCCCAAATGTGCACTTTTCATTTCTATGTAGCAACATTCCTGCAGCGCCTGCATACAGAGTATATATCTCCCAATTGATACGATATTCCCTGACTTGTATTTCCTATCATGATTTCCTTGTTAGAGGGTTGCTGCTCACAAGGAAGCTATTTAAACAAGAGTTCCAAATTGTGAAGTTGAGATCATCCCTTCGTAAATTTTAAGGACGCCATCACGAGTTGGTTGACCGTTATGGATCATCCGTTTCATAGATTATAGCGGATATGTTCATAATGTCGTAACTAAAATCCCGTCCCCTTTTCACGAATGTGACCTACCAAATTAGACTTGTTACCGGGTTTGTACTAACACGAGCAACACGACGGGTGCCACGTGTGGAGCAGGATCTGCTTACCCTTCCGGAGCACCTGAGATCACCCCAGTTTTTTGTGCGGTTCGTGTTGCTTAGTCTTTAGTTTTGTATGTTGTGTTTTGTGTACTATGGTTTGTCTGTTTTTTTTGTTTTTTTTTAGTAATGGCGTTGTCAGTTTATTTTCGATTTGTGAGTTTGAATGTCCCTGTTGTATCTTTCGTCCCTCCTTTACGAAACATATGATTATTTTAGAAATATTTGATTCTATGAGAAAAATATTAAAGTCATTTTAGTATTATTTGTATTTACTATTATTATTACTTTCATCAAAATTATCATCTTTAATATGATTAAATGAACTCGATTAGAAATGCTTTTAATCGGTAGAATCGTCGAATGAAAGTGTTTAAACTTACAAAAACAAATCGTCTTCGAGAAGGATACCTCAAGTTAATTACTCTGAACATCCTTACTGTGATTTTTAAAAGAACAGTTGGTTTTGATGAAGCAGGAAAAATGTCATTATCTAAAATTTTCCAGATGCAGTAACACTTTCAGAAGATGTTTCATAGCTTCGTGGATGTGGAATGAAATCTTAATTGCGTCTATTTTCCAGTCATACTTGATACCTCAACGCTGCTTTTGTGGGTCAATATGAATCTCTGTACTATTATGTCTGTTTCTGGTTTATTGTTATCACATAGTCCGTTTCTCTGTATTTTAACGTTTGTTTTTGTAGCAGTTCAATGTTTCTGTTGTTCCGGTTTCTTTTTCTATTATAGTTGATGTGTTTCCCTCCGTTTTGGTTTGTTAATAAATGATTACACTTTTATGTAAGTACAATATACTGGTTTTGAAATCTCATTGATCTTCGCCTCTTAATACAATTTGATGATCTGTTATCTTATGAATGAATACCTTAAATTCTACAGCATGCCATGCAAGGTCATACATTAACTTAACCATGGCTTTTCTGATTCGTTGAAAAGCAGCTGGTGATTATAATCTGCTATAAGTAAGATAGTGGTTGTGCGCTTTATCCATATCCGTATCGACATTGAAAAGTTCCATAATGTGATAGAAAATAATTTGAAAAGTTTTCATTTCAGTTATGCAATAGGGTATAGTTTTTACTAAAATTTGCACATTTTCTTTTGCAGCATACTGAATCTAACCTTAACTATGCTGAAGTTATATTTGAAGCAGTGCCTTCTACAAGCACAAGTATTATCCATGGCAAAGAAGACAGAACTATTTATTCTGAAATAGATTTGTTGTGCCATGCAGATGTCATTCCGTCCGGCAGTGAAAGTGACGATGACTTTATGTATGTGGATGGGATTGAGAATTACAAAAAGCAAACATGCATCTAAAATTACAATATCGTCATTGATTGTGCAGATGAATGTAAATAATATAACGTCACGTCCTCAACCTTTTACATAGGGAGAATTTTTGTATAGACTAAAACTTTCATTATACATTTTGTAATTACTTAAGTGTTTTACGATATTGTTCCTAGTTTCTGTAGTTATAATTATAATAGTTATAATACTTAAGGGGTTTTACAGTTTTGTTTCTATGTGCTGCAGTTATTATTGTAATCAATGTAAATTTAAGAAAACTTTAAAACACTTGAGTCTTAAATTCCAAATTTAGATGACACCGCAGTTGTGGGAAACTGGTTAGTTAAATCGTTTGAATAAGAATTCGTTATGTTTCATCCAGGACAATTTGTTCCTTCCTTTACCTCACCTCCGCTCAATCATGATATGCATTTCTTCTGAATTTCTCTGTCCTAATTTTTCACTTAAAAAAGACGCTTGAAAGCTTTGAAAACTTTGTTAATTTCTTGCGTAACACTACTGGCAATTCATTGTATTACCTGTAATACGTTTGGTTCCTATCATTTCTAGTACTGTAGTTGAAGAGTTGCCACCGTCAAGTGTAATTTTACGGTCGCAACTGCAGTTTTACTGGTGACGCGTAACATAACGTAATTATTGTATTTCAGTCGAGGAATCACAGGCGCTTCGTGAATTAACCGTTTTATTTTTAAAAGTGTTTATATAGATAAGAAGATGGGTATGAGTGCCAATGACAACTCTCCATCCAAATCACAATGTAAAAAGGTTAACAATTATAGGTCAAAGTACGGCCTTCAACACGGAGCTTTGGCTCATACCGAACAGCAAGCAATAAAGGGCCCCAAAATGTCTAGTGTAAAACAATGCATACAGAAAAACCTTCTTAATGTCATAAATCACTTATGATTGTTAATGAGAAGAAGGGCAAGAACCTTTTAGGGAACTGTATTCCTTTATTTCTAGAAATTACATTGAATTTTGATATATTTGTAGAATGGCAAATGGCTACTACATTCTCCACTGGATACTCGTAAACCACTTAACAAATACAAAATCGTTATTTCAATTGTTATGAATGAAAGGCCAAGCAAATAGCATAAAAGTCATCATTCTGGATTGCCGGAATAAGATCTATTGTCTGGCTAGTCAGGAAAATAACAAGTTCTTTTATATTGTTTTATTAGGCTGTGCGGGAAGAAGCTATTGGCTTTAAGATAACTTCGACAAAATCAAATAATTTCAGGGTGAAATGATAAGGATTGGAATCAATCGTACATGTGTAAGTTCCCTTTATTAGAACTGAACTTAAATTTGCGTGGATTACGTAATAAATAATGCGTATTTTAAGATTTTTCTTGTCGTAAACAATCTAACACATCGGTGGGTGTCAGGATTTATCATGTGAGAGACAGACCTTTAATAGGGAGATCTTTCTTTTGGGGCAATCGTGGCAGTCCAAGGTATGTTATACGAAAATAACAAACCTTAGAATATGAGTTAGCTGACTTGTGTACCGCCAAAACACATTACCAGTAAGTATATATATTTTTAAAGTTATTTAAGTATAACAAGCCCCTACGGTTAAATAAGGTGAATGCAACTTACTAATGTAGATATTTATATACATAAGTGATCATTGTCATGTTACATTAAAAATTACATTTAATGACAGGAAAAATGTAGCATGTGCATTGTTTCGACGTTTGAAAAATACAAGTCACTTCAGTAAGTAATTTATTATTGTTTTTTTTCTGGTTTCATCACATTTTTACCGCTGAAAAGCATGTAAGTTTTCAACAATGTTAAATGAATCTATTCCTAAACAATTATTTCCTCACTTCCGTCTGGCAATAAAAAAATAATCTTAAAATAGATGATAAGGATGAAATAGTATTACTCCTCCCCTTACACCCCTTTTTGCGCTATAGGAAATGAGAACATTTGGTAATTTGATAGTGAAAACGTTACAATGACAAAAAAAGGGAAAACCTCGTCTAATAATATACGTCTCCGGCTTATGTAACGGGAAAAGGATAAAGGATATTCATAAATAATAATTATTACATTATGTGTATGTTTCACTATAATACGGTATTTTGATTGGCTAACAGCAATCTCGCGTCATTCTGAAATTAACCTTCATTTCAAAATGAAATGTAAAATTGATGATGACACGAGCTTCCACAATAAAGTGCACAGGCAAATAATAGAAAAACTTGATAGAGATCGTGTTTTCATCCTAGCAAAAAACTGTAATTATAAGTATTGAATGCTTCTTTTAGTAGTTTTATTGGGTTGTAAAAATAATAAAAAAGATAATTATAGAACTCATGTAACTAAATCAAAAATAAAAATATAAAAAAAATATCAAACGAGTGACTAAACAACACATTAATTCACGAACGTATGACGGTCAATTTCTTAAAATAATTTTCCGAATAATGCGATCGGATCGTGTAAGATCTGGAATGCAATTAAAACACACAGTCAAAATGGTTCCCTCTATACAAAACGGTGCACTAAGATAAAGAAAAAAGGAGTAGTGTTTAAGTTAAGACAACAGGCGACACACAATCCTATGCGAGTTATTACAAAAAAAGTTGCCATTTGTCCTGCTGGTCGGATGAATAGTGCTGTAACTATTTGTCCAGCTAGCTAGCAGTTTAGTGGTGTAACTATTTGTCCGGCTAGCCAGAACAAAAGTGCTGTAACTATTTGTCAGGCTAGCAGAAAAAATAGTGCTGTCACTTTTTGTCATTCTAGCCTGGTGAATACTGCTGAGACTATATTGCTGGCTAGCTAAATGAATACTGTTGGGACTATTTGTCGAGTTGTCCTTGTATAAAAAAGATAAACAAACATTTCCTGTAAAAACTTATCCTTAAAACTAAGGTATATTTCATTTGAAAAACTGTGCATTTCAAACGGTTTTATCTTTAAGAAGAGATTAAATTCATATGGGGACTTTCTAAACTTAGTTCGTTTTCGTATTATCTTGATAAAGAAAGATATATTTTTATAGTATTTTGCAAGCATGAATGTTTATATCATGTTTTTGTTTTGCAAATACATTATAAAAAGTATGGGACAGGGAGCTATTTTTTCAAGCTACAGATTGTGCAGAGTTGTAAAATTGTGTATGGAAAACACAATTTTGTGTGATAGAAAGAGAACTAAACCATAGAATTTTTAGACAAGATATGGGAAGATAATTCTGATAATGTACTTCCAGAAACAAAAACAATAATTGGAGTCACGGAATTGTTCCCTACACATTCCCTTATACAAGTAAATTATCTAAGTTATCACCCCTTATATGACATAGATGAAAATAGCATCATACAAAAACTATTCTGTATTTTTTAAAAACCAGTGAGCATGATGAGTGACAGGAGAGAAATTCTGTCCTTCGGTAGGAGAACTGACAATCCTAGTCAATCAAGATTGGAGTCGAGGACACTTGTCACGTGCTTTGTACATGTAGTAGACTCATTGTCAGCACAGAGACATGTTGTATCTGCACCTATGCTAGATAGCATACGGCTACAACCTAAGAGTGATTGTGCTGAAAATAAAATTTATCTTAGGAAATCGTTTTGACCAAGGTAACATTAGACATCGCCTTCGGGAAAAAAATATTGGTGAACTGTAAAAGTCTTGTTATGAGGCATACAAATATGTATGCTCTACGAATAGAATATGAACAGATTTCACTATAAATTATTAAACGATAAATGATATAATGATGTATGTTCCTGTGGGATAAAATCTATTTTTGAATTATAAAAGTCTTGTCGACTTTTTTCATTCTTGGGTAGAAATTCAAATAGGGGACACAATTTACATTATAGTACTCATTAAAATTTTTAAAAGATGTTTTGACTACTTCTTCAAATTTTCAGTTTTTCTATTATTTTGCTAACCTACAAGGTCGTCAAGTTAATCGTGGACGGTCAGGACCTATCCGGTCTCGCTCAGAGTGGAGATCGTTAGCTGCCATAATTTTTTTTCTCCTAGTTGGATCTTAAATAATTATGTCTTTCATCTTTATAATTTTGATACATTGTGTACATTTACCAACTTGGCGGTCTAAAACGGTTATTTTATTGATTTATTGTTGTCTTGTAAACGTCCAGTGGCAACTTTTCCATGCATGTTCAGTACGAAAACAAAGAACACTACATACAATAGGTAGGTCCTGTAATAGGAATCAACGGAATGAATGACTGGAAATTTGGACTGCCACTGGAAAAGTAAATTAATTTAGCCTTGCAACAGGTAACCCGCGGATCCCTTGCATTGTGACAAGGGTTCGTAACGTCTCTCTCTCTCTCTCTCTCTCTCTCTCTCTCTCTCTCTCTCTCTCTCTCGATCTCGATCTCTCTCTCTCGATCGACGTGGCTGTGGCTGTGAACAACTGTTAAACAAATTCTTAAATTAAGATAGTTACTCTATCGAACGAATAGAATCATGATTATTCCATTCTCTGATTTTAGAAGAAACGTTCTGTTTTTTGTAAAAATTGGTAAACCTATCTCTTTTCTTGGTGTATCCATTTGCAGTTTTTTTTTGAGATTTTATCTTCTCAATCGAAATTTCAATTTTCTTACTACATTTACCTTATTATTAAATTACTTAATGCTTGTTGTCTGTTTTTTTTTTTTTCTTTTTTTAAACGATTACACTAGAAATGTTTTAGTGCAAAACTATATATGGTAGAACAATTCTTCATGACGTAAATTAGAACAGGGATAGTTAGATGGGTTTTCTCTGTAAGACATATTTTAGGTAAAAAGAATTAGATAATAAAAATGTCAGGGTCTTGGATGTATGTTTAAGTAAAATTACTTGTATATCTTTACTTACGTTATATTTGAGGATCATTTGTATATAGTAAAGCTAAATAAATGAAGTTATACACTTTTAATATGTGAGGTTCTGAGTAGAAGGGGGTCCTCATTTCGTCATTTCTTTTTCATTTTGTTTTTCAGATCATTTTCATTATTCTTCATTTAAGTTGCCCATTATTCTCAATTCTTTATATTTTTGCACCCTCATTATTCTCTATTCTTTATTTTGTCGGCCCTCTGTTCTGCACTTCATATCCACTATTCTATATTCTGTAAACACCATCCGTACCCTCATATGTCTGTATAACTTTTTTAAGACTCGAAGTAATATTAATTTCTTAAAAATTGTATGCACGTTGATAGTGAATGTTTCAAACAGATAAAAATTCTGATTAAACAATGACCGTATTTTGTCTTGAGGAAGTTCGGTTTATACCCGGTTTACCCGACATTATATATTCTAACGTAATGATAACGCACAAACTGAGTAAAATATCAAAACAATTAACATTATGAAGTATTCTCTACTAAGGGGGGAGAACTCCTGCTATCTTACATCATTTTTTACATTTTTATCTCCCTTCTTTCAACAGTTAGTCTGTATATCTCAAATATGCGCGCAACCAAAATGATAAAACATTGAATTGCACAGCTCTCAAAAGATCTAGTGACGGCAATTTGTAAAAAAAAAAGCCTTAACTATATATAATTTTAGTGCGGAAAACACTGCACATGCTTCGCCTGTTTCTGTGGGATTTGAATCAACGCTTCAATGATGGCGTGAAAATTCACGGTGTCCAGCACCCTATACTGCTAAGGAAAAAAAACTATTAAATTAGAACTGTTACAGTGCAAAACTGCCAGAATCATTTCTGCATGGAGAAGAAGACCCGAGAACACAACGGACTTCTGTTCAATAAATTCAAAGTAACAAAAACCGCACCTGCTCTTTCTCAAAAAGATGTTTACAGTGAGTTGTGCTACTCTTGGGACAATTATATCAAAATTAACGAAAGGTCTGCCAGCTCTAAGTCAAAATATGGACAATTCTACATTAAGGGGGTCTATACTTCAGTTTGACAGCTTAGGACATACTAAATTTTTACCTTTTTTAAATGATCCACATCACTACTTTACCTTAAAATTCATTACTCAATTCTTTTAGTATGTAATTTCACACCCTACTTAATATTTTATGCTTAAAATACAAATAAACAAATTCAGAAGGTGTATGATAAACATTCAAACTACGAAAATCAAAGGACATTAAGTGTGTTCTAGGCCCAAAACTTCAGAATCTGGGGTAAAACAATTCTTCCTGACGCAAATTAGAACAGCTCTCTGCTAATTATTTAGAACTGGGGAAGATAGATGGATTTCCCCTGTAAGACATATTTTAGATATTAAAAAAATAACTGAGCCTTGAATGCATGTTTTAATACTGTTATTTCTCCATTCTCCTTGTTCATACGAATTTAATGTTTTCATCCATTTGCATATCATAATGCTTAATAAATGAGGTTATATACTATTAATATGTGAGGGAATTAGGGGGGAGGTCCTTCATTTCTTTTATTCTATTTTTTTTAATTTTATACCATTATTATCTAATATCTTCATATCTTAAAGGACACCATTATTCTTTATTCTTTATTTCTTCCTTCTTTTTCTTAATTTTTTCGACACTTTGTTCTATCCTTTTTGTCCATTATCCTCTATTTTGTAATCCCAATTTGTGTGCTTTTCTTTTCTAAAAAAATATATAAATCTCAAGAAATTTAACAGTTTGAGAAAAATCCACACCCACAGTTTTAGAATGCATGTCAAGTAAGTGCAATAGTTCATTTTCTATTCATATATTGAATATTATACGGCGTAAAAACCTAAATATGACAATCGATTCAGAAATTGTGTGGTCGATATACGTTTTAGCTCACCTGTGCAAAGTAACTCCAAGTATCAGTTTGAGTAAAGGTTCGACTTATGCTTCGAGCTCAGCCAAAGTTTGAGTAGAGGTCAGAGTTTTGAGTTCCGCTCCGAGTTACAATAATAATTGATGTTTCTTTTTGTAATTTTTTGGGGTGTAAAAGCGTTAACGAAACAAATTTGTTTGAAGCGCGGAGGCGCATCATACTAAAAATATGCGAATGATCTATGCTTTTACTTTTTCATGTGTTTTTCTGTGCATTGTTGTGACTTTGTCACGGTACTGTCAGGAACGCTTAATTTTACTGGGATATAAAATATAATTTCGAAATGCCTATCGATCGTTTTCAGCCAATCAATAGTACGGATTTTTATGAAACATGCATGCAAAATGGTCGCCCCTAACATGACTGCTATCTTCCTGATATATGCAAGTAATATTTGCCACTGAAAATAAATTAAGCACCAATTCACGATTTCTTTCATTTTGGTTAACGCAACCTGCACAATAATCCAAAGTTTTTAAGTAAGGATTAGCACATTATGCCTTTTTAAGTATCAGTGAATCTATGAGTTGTTACCATTTTCGAAATAAAGTCGATAAGCGTGCCTAAATAAGCTTCCACCTGTGTATATGTAACACCAAGAAACGTGTCCATACGACGTCAGGGAACCTGTAATATATATAATTTGCAATTGTGAAAAAGCTTTGGGAATATGGTACATTGTTTTTCTACGTCCAGTGGTAATTGATACTTTCATTTCAGGATGAGAAAATGTTTAATAGAGTTTAATATTTATTATTCGAAAAATATTGGGAATGAATTCTCGTTAAAATACACTTGTGACGTGAATCTTTTGTTCAAACTCTCCATTATTTTTCAGGAATGAAGAATTATTTTCTATTGTTCATCTTCATTCATCCGGACGTTTTGACCTTTGGATATTTCCAATGGCACTTTCTTAAAAAGTGTTCACCCATTGAAATAATTCTAAAGGACGTAACGCGAAATTGAATGAAGATGAAAACTTACAAAAACGACTGATACTGGATTTTTTGTATTGCGATCGTAGTAATACAATGAACACAAAATCTATCATTATTTACAAACAGCCATATTTTCATCGTATGAAATATAGTAATTCAACAACATTATCCACTATTTGTTTTCCTATGTAAATCTTGACTGACTTTCTGTCACGAATCCAAGCTGATAAACACGAATGTTTTCCATTGTAGCCATTCCCTTTCTGTGCATCTACAAAAATATCAAAATGTGTTGACTCAGTTGAATTCTTTTGCAATATTGCAAATATTAACATTAGGGAGCTACGATTTGATTTTTATGGGGGGTGGGGGGTGGGGGGGGGGAATGCTAGGATGAAATTTGAAAAAAAGACAGGACAGGAGTTTTGAGTAGAAAAAAAAGTCAGGATGACAATTTTTGTAAAGAAAAGTCAGTATAAACTAATAAAAAAAGCCAGGACCGAATAGAGTGAAACAGAGATTACAACTTAAAAAAAGCAGGACAAAATATTAGTTATTTTGCCCCAACATAAAAATCCTTATGAAATAACGAAAATTAGAGAAAAATATATTTCACTTAACGATTTGCGCGTTATTTTACCATTTAAGATATCAATTCCTTGAAATTTAAAATGTTGTATTTTGATTTTAGTACAGCAAAAATTGTTTGTTGCATTTTACTATATGCATTAGAAAAGCAAAGGTTTGCGTTATTTCGCAAAGTTACGCAAACATAGAAAGATATAAAAAAAATGTGTGACGCTTAAACGCTTACGTAATAACCATGATAACATCTGCTACAATGCATTTATATTGTAATTTGTACACATATTAAGGTGCCGTTAGGTATTCATTTTTACCTGTTAGTTTGTTACAGAGCAGATGGATTTGATGTGCCTGGAACATTGGATTGTTTTGATTTATACACTCGAAAATATCAAATCAGGTGTCATGTCAGAATCAGGTAAGTTTTTAATTTACTCATTATTTTCAATGCATTTTTTGTGATTAAAGTTACATTGCTCGAGTATATAAACGTTTCTGTTGACATAAGAAAGGATTTAAAGTATGTGTGTGTGAGCGCGACGCAAGAAAGTGCACCCTATGATTCATCAATGTTTAGATTCGAATGAAAAATACACCAGTAAAAAGCAAATGCAGAAAACAAAGAATAGAATATAGGGATAACATATAAAAATTATTAGGAAATCCAGTTTAATCAGAGGAAAAGCGTGTATCTGTATTTAATGAATAAAACTAGTCAAGATTTAGGTTTTTTTCTTCAGTTTTTCTATTCAAATACCGTGTGACGATTCGCAGTACTGTTAATTTACAATAGAGAACATAGAATTAGGGACGCACAAAACATGTTAAACTAATCCGTATGTTTGATTTTTGTTTTTTGTTTTGTTTTTTAAATGCAAGCATTTGACACATGCATCTTTCGAATAAAATATATTGTTTGTGTCTAAAGGGTGTCTCTTGATTTTTCATATGGAGTATACATGTATATACTTTTTTTGTGTTTTTTTTTAAGAAATGATTATACATGCATTTATCAAAAGAGTTCCTAAATACAATGTACATTGTACAACCCAAAGAAGTATATACACAAATTTTAATCGTCCAGGGTTAAACGGTGGATTCTTATTCATGACACCAAAAATATGCAATCAAACAGTGATAATTGAAATTCCTTAAATAAATCAAAAGAACCTTTGCAATCTTAAAAACTTCACTTTTACCTTATTGTTGACATTTACTTGTGTATATTGTTCTTGGTTGTATGATGGTCTTGATAGCAGTCCTATGTTTCTGTATTCTTCAAATACGTAGGGTATTTTTAAATCTTTTTTAATTAATAGCTTTTCTGCAAAAGTCTCACGAAAAGGAGTTTATTATAATTTTTCTGCAATTATATGTTTTCTTTATTCTTTCGTTTTCAGTGCCAGTCTGTCTAAGAATCAGGCAAATTATAAAAATTTCAAAACATGACATATTTCAAATATTCATCTCATCCACAAAATATGTTACCTTTAGTCAATCCAAATAGAACTGTATAATCAAATTTTAGAAAATCAATTGCAGTATTATGTATTAGCACTTCGAAGTTCTATATATGTTTTACTATTATCCTATGTAAATTCAGGCAATTTCAATTCAAAATAATTTCTATTACCAGAACCGCACAATCACAATGATTGCAAATATAAATACTAAGTAAACAGAAATTTCAGGTTTAAGCCTTCGTCTCGTGGGTTTTTTCGTCTGCTAGTCAAAATTCCATTCCAAAGATTTTGTTGCTTTGTTCATGAAAGAACACAATTTACAGAGTTACCTCCCCTAGCAGAACTCTTTTGATGTAAACAATACTGATACATGTGGCAGACAATGTTGAACTGTAGTTTTTCAATCTTATCTGAGATGAATGTGGGAATTCACAGTATTCTAAGGATGAAAAGACAACACGCTTATTGGACAATGTAATAGAATTGTTGAACCACTTCCTTAGGATTAAAATATGCAAAAATCAAGTCGGAGGGAAAATTGATTTGATTGAATATGAATCTAACATGCTAATATTGGGATCTTTTCCCAACTACATGTACATTCATACTTTGTTTGTCCAAAACACCAACAAACCCTAGGAATATGCATGAGATTAAGAGAAGGAATGTTGGTTGTGCACAACCGTCTCACAAAGGAAGGATCAAAGCCAGACAGAGCAGTGCCCATCCAGATGAGCAGGGCCTTTTTCTAGGTTCTAAACACAAGGTACACTATTTACATATTATTATATATTCAAAAGATAATTTTGGTCATACACCATTCTCCTTCCCCATTATATTTTTTACTGTAAAATTGAAAATGGTTTAGGTTCAACATGTTCAACATGAACAGTCAGGGGTACTACTTAAACAAGTGATTTCATTATCACCTATTTCAGTGATTTTTTAAATTCAGTTATCACCTATTTAAGTGATTTTGGTGTTTCCTTTGATCTTCAAATGCTAATTTCATTGATTTTCCATATTTTCACAAACTTTTCTATAATTTTCCTATATAGATCAATTATCCCTTTATCTTTGGATATCAATTTCACTAGTGCGCTTGGCCAGTAAGTTAGTGCCTAAAGCTTTTAAAAGTACCCTTGGGAATTGTTCTGTAATCAAATATTCATTAACTACTCTTACTATCAGACAAAGGTCAACAATATTAGGTAACCTGATTGGTTTTCTTTATAGTTAGAATAATTTATTTCAAGGTTATGTCCTGATCTACAAATTATTCCAGTTTTTGCATATTTAAATAAACTTTAAAAACTGACAGGCTTATCAAGCAAAAGACAATTTCTGCATGTACATAGTTGTCTTTTCAATGGAATTCTTGTCTTTTTACCAATAAAAAAATCAAGCTTGTGGGAAAAATATCAAAAAAATGTTATAAACACTTATTGAAGTGATTACATTTTAACTTCTCAAATTACTTGTTTCAGTGATTTTAAAAGTCTGTGCGAAAATTTTTAATATTTCACAGCCAAAATCACTGAAAGAAGTGATTCTGAAATCACTTGTTTAAGTAGTACCCCTGACTGATGAATATAAAAAATATTTTATAAAGGATTTTAGAAAAAAAATGGTGATAATGCCAAAAATATGAGTGTGTACTAAACTGAAGGAGACCCCTGGCCCTAAAAAATGGACTATTGCCCTTTTGAAGGAGACCCCTGGCCCTAAAAAATGGACTATTGCCCTTCCAAAGGAAGGTTCACATGAATTTCTTTAGCAATGTTTAAGTTTCATACATAATTATGATGCATTTAGGCCTAAAAAGATAGCACCAGTGTTTCGATCTACAGCTGAAAAGAATTAGGTTAGATAGGTATTTTTTTTAAGTTTTTGACTGGTTTAAAAAGGGGAAATAATTTGACACAATATAAATAGGGCTCGTTCAAAACTTACAGAAATGTTTATGCATCGGTAAGGTTATCCAAGGAATAACTAAATTTTTTTTCAAATAGGCGTTCAACAAATTACGGAAATATTTTTTATTTGATGATTTAACCGTACCTTATTGGCTTAATGGGAGGAATATGTTGTTTTTATTAGTGCTATTAAAAAATGACAAGAAAACTTTCCGGTGTACCATGTGCACTGTAGGCGTTTTTAATCATAAAATATAGGGTCAGTATTTTTAGTACTTTAAACACACACACATTTTTGGTTTGCCTTAGGCCAGTAACCTTATTTATATTTTTTGAATCTACCAAAATTTTTTTAACCCAAAGCCCTTGAAACTCTAGCTCTCAGCATGCTCAGGGGTTAAAACATATTCTGCATAACTTGTACTTAGGGAAATTATTTTTCTTAGTTAATGTTATTTGCAACTTATTACATTGGTCTGAAGTAAGAGCTACAAAGAAATTTGTATTGTATAAATAAATTCATTCTTTCATTCATATACATTGTACATGTCGTTTGTTGTCATTTGTTGATGTGGTTCATAAGTGTTTCTTGTTTTTTATATAGATTAGACCGTGGGTTTTCCCGTTTGAATGGTTTTACACTAGTAATTTTTAGGGCCCTTTATATAGCTTGCTGTTCGGTGTGAGCCAAGGCTCTGTGTTGAAGGCTGTACATTTTGTACTTTGACCTACATGCATTTGACATGTAAAATGGTTTACTTTTATAAATTGTGACTTGGATAGAGAGTTGTCTCATTGGCACTCATACCACATCTTCTTATATCTACATGTATCTATATTTTTATCAGACTAAACAAATTTGAACTTTTTTTTCAGGGATTTGCTGAACTGCAGAGGTTATTTGTAAAGACACATACCTTTGATATTTGAAAGAACTGTTTACAGAAGACTATTGCATTGCAGAGGTACACATTATTTGAATTTAGATATTTTATATGTATACCAGTAAATTCCAGTAATTGAATGTTTACTTCAACCCACTCCCACTAGTGGGTCCATATTTTTAGTGGAAATATCTTTTTATACATGATTATGGATTTTTGAAATAGATAAGAATTACTTCAGCTACATGTACAAGATGTTTTTTTATACCCATCCACAACGGGACAGCTCATAGATTTCCCCATCGGAATGCAAATGCTAATTTACAAAATGATTTGTGTATATATATTGGTTCAGTTTTGAGCAAGTGGTGAATTCATCTTATGATATAGGATATACATGTATATACAAAATGTATATATATATACATGTATGTTACAATTAGAACTAGGTCAATATGACCTACATTTTCTGCTGGAGCTACTTGGGTAAAATTTTTACTGCTAAACACGAGTTATGCAGAGATCACCTACACATGTATTGTCAACAACATCTAGAGTCTTTTTGCTTGTACAAAAATCATGCATTTCCTTTCCCTACTCAAAAACATATCATGCATATTGGTGTTTAAAAAATTTTGATTTTCAGTTTAAGTGAGACTACTAATGGTAAATAAATAATATTTGATATAAAGTTGTATAAGCATTCAATTTGATGCATATTATATCCATGGAGATTATTTGGCCCTGTCCCCTTACTGCAGCCCTTAGTCATGGTCTATTGATCTTGTCATTTTAGCAACTAGTTTACATTTTAAAGTTTGTGATTTCATGTAGATCAGTTAACAAAGAACCACTTATGATAAGCTAGTTTTATTTGAGGGTAGGAATGCCCTTTACCGTCAGGCGTCAAACGGTCATTTGAGGCTTCCGTTAGCATGGTTAATGTCAAATTGGTTAAAATTTTACCGTGCACTGATTCGTCAAAATATCTTTATTGTGATTCGTCAGAGGCCTAAAAAAATTATCGTTACTGTTAATTTTGGAGAAAAAATTAATGTGATTCGTCAAAATCAGTTGATTTTTTTATCGTCTAAAAGAAAGTGTACATTTTATCGTAATGGACCAAACATTATCGTTAACGTCATTTGGCAAGAATTTTTACCCTTATTCGTCATGATGGTACCCCCATTACCACCCTCTTATTTGGTATGCAGTTGTATTTAGCATTAATGGCATTTCTTATTTCTACTGACATTTTTAGTAATGGTTCATTCACTTTGAATATTTGGCATATTTTAACATTTCAGAGTATAACTGTTTGATTTCATCATTTTAATTTTTCTACCAAATTAACTTACAGACTGTGTCAAGTTTAGTTTTTAACTTTTACATATTTTAGCGACAAAAAATGAAGAAATACTTTTGATATTTCTAAAGAGAAAAATGACGAGTCATTGCTAAATCACTGGTAAGCCAAAAAAAAAAACAATCTTCCACCTGGGACTTGCACATAAATTTACATATTGGTCCCATTGCCCACATACATGTACTAAAATTAATGGTTGTTTCCTTAGCGTTCATTTTTTAAACTTCCATTGTTTACATTTCATTCAACCAAGATGATTCATTGAACTTGAAATTATCAACATGAACTGTAAATAAATTGCTATTATCATGATTATATTTATTTTAATTTTTACTGAAATTTCATATAATTGCAGGATTGATGATTAAAAGATTCGACTACAGCAAAGTTCAATGAGGCTCATCATATTGTGATGCCAATATTGCGCACTTGAGTAGGAAGATCAAAATGTTTGTAGTGAATGGACATAAGGAAATAGCTTGCCTTCAAATTGACCAACATTTCTGAAGTCAAGGATGACAACTTAGTCTCTATTCATAAAGAAATTGCATAGCCATGTTTGAACCTAAAGAACAGATATACCAAATCTGAATGACAGATAAAATAATAAGACATGATAACTATAAGAAGACTCTGAACAATCTGAAAACTATCAATTCAGGAATTCCATGTACATGATGTATGTGACAGAAGTTTTTAAAAACATTTGAATGTTGAGATTGGTTGAGTATCTCAATGATAAGAACTTTCATTCTGAAATCAGAATTTGGATGATCTTTTCCTGTATGAGCGTAAATTAATCTCTAATTTGGTCAGTTATTTTTAAAAATATTATAGTAAATGAATGAAATAATTTGTGCAATTTATTATTTTCTTTTTGAAAAATGTTGCATGTTTATTATGACATACATTTTTGTCTCGCAGTGTCACAGTATGCCAAACAAAGGTATAACTATCAGAAGGTGACAGGGTCAACTATTATATTTTAGAAGGTAGAAGACCTGGATTCTTAATATAAACAAGAAGAGCTTACAAAGTTTCCGTCTGTCATATGTCCAATGTCCTGGTCCTCATTTTCATAGTTCAGTGACTGCTTGAATTTTTTTTTAGATTTTTGGTCATGTGAATTTCTCACTTATTATGAATAATATTAGGATAACTATATTTGGCATATGGGTTACTTGCTACATCTCCATTTCGGTCAGACAGGGTTCACCTGACCTCAACCTCATTTCTTGGATCAGTGATCAAGGTTAAAGTTGCATGCATGAATAGGTTCATTTCTCTTATACTATAAGCAGTAGGTCATCAACTATGTGTGGTGTATAGAATGATTGTAAGGAATAGATGTCAGTCTAGATCTGACGGGTTCACTTTTTGACTTATAATTTTGAATATTAAAAAAACTGCACCAAATTTTATAAAGAGGGTACTTTTTGCCTGTATGTCAGATCTGAAGTACCTGTTTTGGTACATCCGAAGTTCCGGGAACCAGTTCTTTCTTATATGCCATTAAAGGTATGTTGATTTTTCCAGTACAAGACACCATAAAGTGTTCCTTTGACATGCAATGATTGTCACTTTATTTGAACTTGAAACAAAAGAGCTGTGTCTGCTTGAAATTGGGGAATTTAACATAGAAAGCAATGGGGCCATGAATTAGTGGTGTACTTCCTTAAGCAGTAGGTTAACTTTATTTGGTTCATGGAATAATAAGTACATGTCAGTCTGGCAGGTTTCATATGACATTGACCTCATTTTCAGGGTTCATTATAATTTTTTTGTGTGTGTTTTGGTCTGTTGTTTGAGTACTGTAAGCTATAGGTTAAACTATATTTGGTGTATAGAACGATTGCAAGGTGTATATGTCTATGAAGTTGGTATTATCTGACCTTGACCTCATTTTCATGATTCAAAGATCAACGTTAAGGTTTTGTAGTTCATGTCAGTTTTCAATTATCAATAGCAATTCAATATTGAAGCATTTAACATAAAAAAAATGTATAATTTTGATAATAGCCTATAATTTTGATAGAAAGAAGGTGGAATATGCATACTTTACTGTTGCTAAGGAGTATTTATGGTTTTTATGCAGATCCCTTATTTAAAAAAAACCACCACGATCAGGTTGTAATACAAATTTTAAAGCATGACAGTGTCAGTGACTATAATGATAGGTCTCAAACCAAAATGAATCTGGTATAAGAAGTAAGCTCACACCAAAAATGGGAAACTTTTGAAAATATCCTCCTTTATAGGTATACATGTATGCATACAACTGTTAATCAGTTATTAGTTAGGGGTTAATGAGAACCCATCACAATATTTATAATGGCTTTTTCCTAGATTTTTATTAAAAAACAGCTCTTTACATAAAAAAAATACATGTTGATAGTATTTTTGCCCCCGCAGTAGTGGCGGGGGCATTAAGTTTTACCCTTGTCCGTCTGTACGTACGTACGTCCGTACGTCCAAAAATTGGTTTCCGTTCTCTAACTTGAGTTTGCCTCAACCAAATGTTATGAAACTTATACACAATGCTTATTACCACAAAACACAGATCAAGTTTGAATTTTGGTGGCGTCACTTTAACCGTTCTAGAGTTATTTTTTATTATCTTTTTAGATTTTAATTATTGGCAAGAATCTATTTTGTTACTAGGAGGTTTAAGTTATTGCTAATGAAATGTAGATTTAGTTCTATTTACTTATTTTATATAGAAATGATTGATATCCGACCACTTAATTGTCACTTTTTGCACTGGAGAATATTTTTGTTTTAAAAAAACCCAAAAATTTTAAGTTTGTTCATTTTGGTTGCTAAGGACATTTTTCGGTTGCTATGTAATACTTTCTGGAAAAAAATGGGAACAATTGACAACACTCAAATGTAACTAGCTTAAATAAATCATATTGAGTCCATTTATATGCATTTAGACTTTAATATTGAATATATTTGTTACAATTTGTTTTTTAGCTTTGTTGCTATAGGGTTAACTTTGTTGCTATGGTTACTCAATATTTGGAAAAAACCCACCGAGCTTTTATGAAATAATGAAAGTATGACCCCTACTTGTTCCATATTAAGTAACACGATGTATGTGCTGTTCTGGTAATAGAAAATATTTGAACTTGATTTCTGGCCTTTTTAGCTTTTTTGGACATGATGGTCCATGGAGACCATCCGTACCCCAAAATTTCTAGAATGAAATAGAATTTCATCAAAACAGTTGTTCTTCAAGAATATTTGATAGTTGAATAAGTTGCAGTACAATGATTGAATACTACATTTTATATGAAAAGCAGTTTTCACGAGACTGAAATAGTAGAAAAACTGTGAGTTTTATGCTCATCTCAATAACTCGTTCTTTGGAAAAATCAAATGGCTCTGTTTCCATAGCAACCATATGTAATTGGTAAGAAAAGTATTTTTTTCTTTATAACTTGATATTCAGATGATTTGTGCAAGTTTTCGTCAAAATCTGAGACTATCATGTTTTGGTCACTGCCTGGTCCTTAGGAAGTCTGTAATATTATTGTATTATCTAATTCCGTTTTTTCCCACAGTAAATTAACAGTTATTCTTTATATACTTTGTTCTGTGTTTAGTTTTAATCCATTTTTTGTCTCGCTATTGATGATATTGCAAAAGCGACACTTCATAGTGGTGGTTCCAGTAACCCTGACGTCAACAGTAAAGATTTGAGGTCAGTTTAATGGAACCACACATAGTTGCAATTTCGTCTTGATCATACATGAACTAAGTTTGTCCCACGCGTAACGCGTTACCTGGGACATGGAAATACCGGGTGTCCATCCGTCCGTCCTGTCTTGTTATCGCTCTCACAGGTACAATTCTTGCCAGGTTTTCATTAAACTTATATATTTAATGAAACTTATACACAATGTTTATTACCACCAAACTCAGATCAAGTACAAATTTGGGTAGCGTCACTTTGACAGTTATTGAGTTATGTTCCTTTATGATGTTTACTTATATGCAAGCGAGGGCATCAACTGTGTCCCATGGACACATTCCCAATTTTTTTCAAAACAACTGAATTGTTGATTTACACAAAGAAGAAAAGAGACAAAAGTTATGTTATGTATGTACAGAAAGATTGAAGAGAGAATACAAATTTTGTATTGGTAAATATATGTACCACAAAAATTGTATATAACATTATTTTATGTGAAGTTAGCAGCCGGTTCGTTATTCGATATTCGATATTCAATATCCAACCGGCTGCTAGCTGTACTTTTATATATTATATTTCTAGAAACATTTAAAAGTATAAATAGAAATAATTATGGAAAGCCAAAATAAAAAAAAATATATAGTGAAAACATACAGGAGATCGCTTAAATGACGTTGGGACCCCTCTGATCTCTCAATCTTCCTAATATTGTGCAGGTAGTTAGTTAATATAGAGATACAAACGAGACCAAAAGGAATTTGGATAAACTTCCTGTCTTCTATGTTTACGGAGGGTTCAAAGTGCCAGTTTGATATTCAAAATATATAGTGAAAACCTACCGGAGACCGCTTAAATGACGATGAGACCCCCCTGGTCTTTCAATGTCCATAAAATTCAATTGGTCTCGTTTGTATCTTAATATTAACTAACTACCTGCACAATATTAGGAAGATTGAGAGATCAGGGGGTTCTAGACATTGCCCTGTGCCCTTTGACCTGATTTTTTGATGATTTTTAGCTGAAAAGTGACAATTTAAGCCCTCTGTAGATATCGAAGATAACATTATTCTGGGAAATCCTTTTGATACCATCTGTATATATGCATTGCCTAAATGTTCATTGAATTTTATGGACATTGAAAGACCAGGGGGGTCTCGCCGTCATTTAATTAAGCGGTCTCCGGTAGGTTTTCACTTTATATATTTTGAATATCAAACTGGCACTTTGAACCCTCCGTAAACATAGAAGACAGGAAGTTTATCCACAATATTAGGAAGATTGAGAGATCAGAGGGGTCCCAACGTCATTTAAGCGATCTCCTGTATGTTTTCACTATATATTTCTTTTTATTTTGGCTTTCCATAATTATTGCTATTTATACTTTTAAATGTTACTAGAGTGATCGTTTTTTAAAGTTTCTAGAAATATCATATATAAAAGTACATCTTTGGTATCGTTTTATTGATAAAAATCTATATTCCATAAAGACAAATGTGCGATTTACATAAGGGTTTGTATTTGAGGACAACGAGAATTTACGACGGCTTGAATGGGGTCATAAAACGATTTCCTACATATCTTTTCACCCTTTTTAACTATGAGTATCATGCTTTGAATGTTTTCGAATATTTTAATATTGATGATTTTCAACTAAATTTGAATATCGAACCGACTGCTAGCAGCCGGTTGGATATTGAATATCGAATATCGAATAACTAACCGGCTGCTAACTTCACATACATCAAAAATCCTTTCCTTTTTTGATGTTAGAAAAGCCAAAAAAAAAGGGTAATGGATTTTAATATTTATAATTTTTCATTGTTTCCACTTAATATTCTTTGGTCTTTTTTCTTATATATTTACGTCTTAACATTTTAATTCTACATGCATATTGGTCTTGCGTTGCTTTGGGTGAATTTATATCAACCCTGACACAATCCCTTATTTTGCTATCCGTACTAAAAATATAATTTTTAAGTATGTGTTATACGGACGGACGGACGGACAAGGGTAAAACATAATGCCCCCTTCGCTTCGACGGGGCATAATTTAGATAAAAGATTTATTATTTTTCTTTACGTTCAAAGGCAATATTTCATGCATTTCCATGACTATTAAAAACGAGACAAAGTATTTTTATTCTATCATATACTATTAGTTCACATTCGTCCTAAATAGATAGTTGAATATTCAGAGCAAATTACAAAAAACAAAACA